AGTTGGAAATGTGGATTTTATGTGAAATCTTCTGATTCACCAAAGCCAACAACTAACGTGATTCAAAATTGTTATTTTCGGGCGTCTGGGTGGCTCAGTCGTTAAGCGTCTGCCTTCAGCTCAGGTCACGATCTCAGGGTCCTGGGATCGAGCCCCGCATCGGCTCTCTGCTCAGCAGGAAATCTGCTTCTCCCTCTCCCACTCCCCCTGCTTGTGTTCCCTCTCTCGCTGTGTCTCTCTCTGTCAAAGAAATAAAATCTTTAAAAAAATTGTTATTTGCAACACTGAGCAAGTCAAAGATGACCCTAATAGCACCAAATCTGACGTCTGCACCTCCAGTTTGCCAGGACTGTGCTAAAAGGGTTTTCACATACTTTTCTCCTCTCACCCAGCACAGGTCACCAGTGAAAACCTTCAAGGATAGTACCTGTCAAGTCTCCTGCAAGGCTTCATCCCCGGTGCCTAACACAGCCCCTAGCGCAGAGCAGTGCTCAGTATGTGGTATTGCTGGGGCTGCAGAATATAGGTCCCCTGGTTTCTCTTCATTTCAACAACCTGGACTTTCTGGGGCACCTGGGTGGCTCAGTCGCTTAAGCATCTGCCTTTGGTTCAGGTCATGATCCCAGTGACCTGGGACTGAGCCCCTCCTTGGGCTCCCTGCTCAGTGGGGAGTCTGCTTCTCCCTCTGTCCCTCCCCCCTCCTTGTGCTCTCTCTCTCTCTTAAAAAAACAAAACAAAACAAAAAACTGCTTTAAAACAAACAAACAAGCAGAACAACCTTGGCTTCCTACAGCCTATGAAGATGAGGGCAAAACTTGTCCTGGCAATTGGAAGCTCTTCCCAGTCTGCCCCAAACCACCTTCCCAAGATTCACAGAGCTCAAATAGTTATCCCATATAACTGATTTAGCTGTCGAAGTAGCTGCCCTTCCCCCACAGCCTCTCTTCTTCTAAAGTGCCCATGGATCAATTATTCCACAAGCACTTATTAAGCGCTTTCTGTATACGTTGGCTGGTGTTAGTATATTCTAGACCTCCTGCTTAAACGTGTATGTGTGTATGTTGGGGGGTAGGGGGTGGGGGGGTGGACAGAAGATCTCCCCCTGGGAGAACTGCTAGGGGGAGGGGAATCAGTGGGCTGAACAGGGTGATGATTTCAGTGATCAAACACCACAGCACTACCAAATTCCACCACTTCCTGAGGGGGCTTCTCTAATTACCGCAGGTAATATATTGGCTCCCCATTTGGCATCAGCCAGAATTCCAATTCGGGTCTTCTACGTGCCACTGAGCCCTGGGCTCTCTTCCTAGGGAGTCAGAAAAGTACACCCCCGTCACCTCGTGTAAAACACGACCGACGAGGATGGGATTCGAACCCACGCGTGCAAAGCACAATGGATTAGCAGTCCATCGCCTTAACCACTCGGCCACCTCGTCCCACGTAAAGCGCTCTTTTCCATATGCCCTTATCTCTCATCTCCGCACCTTCTGCTTCCCCCCGCCCCCATCCATTCTTCAGTGTGGCTTTCACAGGACCTGACGGAGGGAGAGACAGCGGAAAGAAAGGGACTTTTTGTGTTCCTTCCCGCCCGCCGCAGCCGCGAACCCGCGCCATCCTTCACCAAGCTGCAACCAGAGTTCTGCCACGGTTTCCCCTCCCTAAGACGGGGGCGAGCGCGCGGGTGTTTCAGAACGCGCCTGGTCCAGGGGGTCGCACACCGATCGGGAGGGAGGGGCGCGTGTATCCCTGGGAACACGGCAGGCGCGGCCGCGGGCACTTTCAGGGTTTGCACAGCGCGGGACGGCGGCGCATGCAGTAGCTCCTCCTCGCGCGCAGGGGGCGAGCTGGCGCGCCCCAAGGCCAGCTCGGGCGGGGAAGCTGCGCGGGGCTCGGCTCGCCTCGGCTCGCTTCGGCTGCGCTCGGCAGGCTGCGGTAAATCCGGGCTTGCGGCGGCTGGCAAAGGCTGCGGCCCGGTGGTCCCTGCTGCGCGCTCGGAGCCCCGAGAGCCATGCAGATGTCCTACGCCATCCGGTGCGCCTTCTACCAGCTGCTTCTGGCCGCGCTAATGCTGGTGGCTATGCTGCAGCTGCTCTACCTGTCGCTGCTGTCCGGGCTACACGGGCAGGAGGAGCAAGACCAGTATTTCGAGTTCTTTCCCCCGTCCCCGCGGTCCGTGGACCAGGTCAAGGCGCAGCTCCGCACTGCTCTGGCCTCTGGAGGCGTCCTGGACGCCAGTGGCGACTACCGCGTCTACAGGGGCCTACTGAAGACCACCATGGACCCCAATGACGTGATCCTGGCCACGCACGCCAGCGTGGACAACCTGCTGCACCTGTCGGGCCTGTTGGAGCGCTGGGAGGGCCCGCTATCCGTGTCGGTATTCGCGGCCACCAAGGAGGAGGCGCAGCTAGCCACGGTGCTGACCTACGCGCTGAGCAGCCACTGCCCCGATATGCGCGCCAGGGTCGCCATGCACCTTGTGTGCCCCTCGCGCTATGAGGCCGCTGTGCCCGATCCCCGGGAGCCGGGGGAGTTTGCCCTGCTGCGGTCCTGCCAGGAGGTCTTTGACAAGCTAGCCAGGGTGGCCCAGCCCGGGATCAATTATGCTCTGGGCACCAACGTCTCCTATCCCAATAATCTGCTGAGGAATCTAGCTCGTGAGGGGGCCAACTATGCCCTGGTAATCGACGTGGACATGGTGCCCAGCGAGGGGCTGTGGAGGGGCCTGCGGGAAATGCTGGATCAGAGCAAGCAGTGGGCAGGCACAGCACTGGTGGTGCCTGCCTTTGAGATCCGCCGAGCCCGCCGTATGCCCACGAACAAGAACGAGCTGTTGCAGCTCTACCAAGTGGGCGAGGTGCGGCCCTTCTATTATGGGCTGTGCACGCCCTGCCAGGCGCCCACCAACTACTCCCGCTGGGTCAACCTGCCAGAAGAGAGCTTGCTGAGGCCTGCCTATGTGGTGCCCTGGCAGGACCCCTGGGAACCATTCTACGTGGCCGGAGGCAAGGTGCCCACTTTCGACGAGCGCTTTCGCCAGTACGGCTTCAATCGCATCAGCCAGGTGCCCAGGGAGAGGGCATGGGAAATGGGGCAGGAGGAGTGGTGGGCTCTGGGAGCTATGAGTGGTCCTGGATGGAAAGGAGGCAATGAGGCAGGACAGTCATAGTTCACGAAGTGGTTGGATGGTGTGGAAGATCCAGGGTGCTTCCAGAGGAGTGGGGATGCTGGAGAGAGGCTTTAGGGATGTCAGTCTCGGCCCTAGCGGTCTCACCCAGCTTCACTGACCTGTCTCTCCTCCAACAGGCCTGTGAGCTGCACGTGGCAGGATTTGATTTCGAGGTGCTGAACGAAGGTTTCCTGGTTCATAAGGGCTTCAAGGAAGCTTTGAAGTTCCATCCCCAAAAGGAGGCCGAAAATCAGCACAATAAGATCCTTTACCGCCAGTTCAAACAGGAGTTGAAGGCCAAGTACCCCGACTCCCCTCGTCACTGCTGAGCCCTTCCCTCTCCTAGTCAGAGAAGTCTCAGCCTCTTCCCTCCTTAGGCCATCCCTCAGGCCTGACAGGGGTAAGAAATGTCACTCCACTTTACAGTGGTAGCTGTGGTGTTGGAACACTGGACTTGAATATGGGGTGCTGGGATCAAGTCCTAGCTTTACCACTAACTAGCTGTGTGGCCTTGAGCAAATCCCATTTCCTCTCTGAGCCTCAGTTATCCCGTCTGTAAAAGGGAGGTGAAAAAACCTACCTCACAGAACTGTTGGGAGGCTCAGATGAGATGCTATATGTGAAAACATTCTGTAAGCTTCGTACAAATGTGAAGTATTATTAATATTATTACAGTATTATTGTTATTATTATTAACAGTCTGGGGTGGGTGGGCAGTAGGAGAGCGAAAAGTATGAATGGGGCAGAACTGAGAAGTCGGGAGTACTTAACATAATGGGACTTTTTGGAAAGAAATCGGGTGAAGGCGTTGAATTTAGTTCTTAGCTTTTGGGCAGAAGCCTAAACTTCCTGGTTCTTCCAGGCCTCCGCCCTCGGGAGCTTTGGAGAAAGGAAGGGTCTGCAGATTCTCTGCCAGATCTGTGTCCTCAAATAGGTTGGGCTGGGTTATTTGCCTACCAACGACCATGTGTAAATAAATGAGTGTTCACACCTACAGCTGGCTCCATGACTCTCCTGAACCTGGCGGGCAGGGGGTGGGGTCGTGGCTTCTTCCCTTGAACACGAGGGACGGGGGGACGGAGGGAAGGAGGTAGCTGCGGCCCAAAGGGAGACGACCGCAAAGCAAGGAAACCACGAGGGTCTTTTCCGCCAGCTGAAGGCCTGCGTGAATTTCGGCCGGTTGCTATGGAGACCGACCCCGCGGTATCCCAGCATGCCTCGCCCCAACTGTCCAATTGTGCTCTCCACCACGGGCGCCTCCTGATAACGTGTGCGGAAGTGCGGCGGGCCCCGCCTCCCGGAGTAGAGGGACTGGCGCGACGTTTCCGGGAGTCCGGCAGACGCGGGCACCTCTCAGGGAGTTTCAGACGTCAACTCGGAGGCCCCCTTCCCCGCGGTGCGTAACGCTCCTCAGGGCACCTGGTTCGGCGTCTCTGGCCAGTCGGTCGGAGCTGGCCCAGTGAGGGCCGAAGCGGAGACTTAACCGGCCGGACGCGTGTGGCGCCTCGGGGCCCCTGTTGGCCGCCGAAGAGCCGGTGACTCCCCCCGCCCGCGGCGCCGGCGCAGACGCGAATGGAACGGGGCGGGAGGGTCCTGGCGCGTCGCGCTGCGCAGGGGTCTGGATTGGCTTTCTCGAGGGAGAAGAATCGGTCTTCCGTAGAGGTCTGCCCTCGAAATGCTGACTTTCTAAAAATATAAATTACTTGTGTACAGCGCCTTAACAATATCCTTTTCCATCCTTTACGCCTTGCGATCTTTACAACACTCAGAGTAGCGGTGGTTATCCTCATTTTGCGCCCGGGGTAAGGAGGGGAGGTTGTGATTTAATTTTGCTCACTCAGTAGAATCAGAGACAGCTGGAGACAAAAGTAAAAAAAATATATATATATATATATTTAACAATGAAGAGGAATTGCAAATTTTGGGAACTGCAGGAACTCGGGCTTGAGAATGGGAAAGATGAAGCTGGTTTGGAGAACTGAGGTTTTCAGGTCAGATTCAGATCATTTATGAAATCCTTGAGGAATGCGACTAAGCTGTGCCGTGAGCCAGTTATTTTACACAACTCGAATTGTGTCAAGGAAAGTTAACAGAATACTTTGGATTTGCAACCACTACAGGGTCCTGGGGTACCCTGGAAGGTACCAAGAAGTAAAAGCCTGCCTGAAAAAGTGTTCTTTGTTTAGTTTGTATTTGCACATCCACGAGTCGTGAAGTTAAGTACTGTGCTGGGTGAGTGAGGTACAAGTGCATCCCTGCCCTGGGGAGGCTTACAGCCTGGTTGGACAGACAGATGTGAAGATGGGCAAATAGGAGATGTAAACAATAGGGCTTCTTGGAGAGAGTGGTGTCTACACTGATCTAAAGGACTGCAGAACCGTGCCCAGAGAAGTTGGAAGAACATCAGAGTGAAATCGAAGCCTCCGGGAGGCGGAAAGATTAACTGTTGGGAGGACCGTTTAGTCTTCCTCTTAATTGATCTCTTGGCAGCATTTGGCACTGTCACCATCTTTCCTTCTGAAATTTTTTCTCCCCATGACTGAGTTTCTCTTCCTCTGCCTCTTGCTAATTTCCTTCTCCTTTTCAGGGCTTTCATCACCTGCCCCTTTGGTGGCCCTGGGAGTTCCATCGTGGACCTCTTCTCACTCCACACATACTGCCTTGCTCGTTGCGCCCTCTCCTAAGGTTTGAAGAACTCTGTATGACGATGGCCAGATCTCTGCAGCCCAGATTTCTCTCTGAGGCTTAGACTCATGTGCCCCCACCCCTGCTCCTTCTCTCATTTTGGAGTGTGTGCCCATGCGATTCACTCTGCTTGGAATGTTCCCTCCCTGGCCACCTCAGCTCATCTGTCTGAGCCCTCCATGCTGCTGCTGTAGCAAGGATCTTTTTCTGTAAGCCCTCACTGTTGGAGCAAGCTCCGGTTTCCAGTCAGATGCCTCTCCCATATGCCCCCCCCAACCCTTCTTAACCCTTCTCACACCACAGTCTGCTTCTCTGCCTCTCTCTCCCAGGAAGCTGTAAACTCCTTGAGGTCAGAGACTATCTGCCCCATCGTGCCCAGGATCTACTGTAGTGTCTGATGGTACCTGGCATCTATTAGGTCTTCAATAAATTTTAGTTGAGTAAATAAAAGAAGGAATGACTAATAGTGTTTATTGTTGCTGAGAAGTCAACTAAGAGAAGTACTAAAGAATACTGGCATTGGGCACCAGGAGGTCGTCTAACGCCACATGATTCATGTCAGCCCAGGGCAATCAGAAATGGAATGGAACACCTGGGAGGTGAAAGAATAGGAACAGCCAGAGCTTTGAAAAGTGTCGCTGTGAGGTGGGAAATGGGGAGTGCTTAAGTGGAATAGGGTGAGGTTCTGTGTTTCTGCTGTTTCTAAATGGGGGACAGTACCTGAACACATTTGAAGTTTCCTGGGCAGGAGCTGTCAAGAGGGAGGGTTGGAGAAACAGTGGAGAAGGGGGTACTGGTAGCATGAGGCTCCAGAGAAAGCAGAAGGACACGGGCGTTGACCCGGAGCACAGTGAGGCAACGGGGGGATTGCCAAGTGTTCTCAGGAAGAGAAGTGGAGGGCCTTCCAGGTGGAAGGATCAACAGGAGGGGTGGAGAGAACAGTACTTAAGGACTGACTGTTAGATGGTGGGGTGAAGCCACTGGCCCAGTACTTCAGCCCGCGCAGGGCCTTAAATGCCCCATTCACAAGTGGGGGCACAGTCCCAGAGGCAGTGGGGGAGCCCATCCTTGCTGTTCCCCATCTTACCGACCATCACCTTGGCCAGCATTCCCCAGATGGGGATCACCAGCAATGTCCCAGGACGGGAGCATTTCCGGCCTCTGGGAGATGCGCAGACAGGGCCTGGTTTGACTCCCCGCATGGCCACTTTCCTGCTCGGAACTGAGGACAATGGTAAGTGATGGTTCCCCTCCTTCTCCCAGAGCCCAGATGCCCGTCCAGCCTCCGAGCAAAGACACAGAAGAGATGGAAGCAGAGGGCGATTCGGCTGCCGAGATGAATGGGGAGGAGGAAGAGAGTGAGGAGGAGCGGAGCGGCAGCCAGACTGAGTCGGAGGAGGAGAGCTCGGGTGAGCCCCTGACGCGCGCACGCGGGCGCCCGGCCGCTCCCCCTCAGCCAGCGCTGACTGGCGTCTTGTCCCAGAGATGGATGAGGAGGACTACGAGCGGCGTCGCAGCGAGTGCGTCAGCGAGATGCTGGACCTGGAGAAGCAGTTCTCGGAGCTAAAGGAGAAGTGAGCGTGGGGCGTCCAGGGCTGGGTCCCCCGGCACCCGGGGTGAGGAGGCGGCCGGCCTGGCGCGGGGCAGGGGTGGCCAAGGGCCTGCTGCGCGGGCCTGGCTGGGGAGCGCCGGGCGCTCGGCCACGTGTTTGATAGACACACGCCTTTTCCCTCCCAGGTTGTTCAGGGAACGGCTGAGTCAGCTGAGGGTGCGGCTGGAGGAAGTGGGGGCCGAGAGGGCACCTGAGTACACAGAGCCTCTGGGGGGGCTGCAGCGGAGCCTCAAGATCCGCATTCAGGTGGCAGGTCTGTGGGCTGTCCTGTGCTCTGGGGCAGCCCCCAGGCCACCTCCCTCTTCGTCTGCCAGAGCCCCTGGCTCTCTGCTCCCTGCTTTTCTCATCCCTCCCCTGACCGGCCCTGCTCCTGGCTCCCCCTTTTGGACACCCGGGTCCCTAGCCAAGCAGGGCTTCCCATCTCTCCTCCTCCCCCCCATCACTGTAGGAATCTACAAGGGCTTCTGTCTGGACGTGATCCGGAACAAGTACGAGTGTGAGCTGCAGGGAGCCAAACAGCACCTGGAGGTGAATGTGACTGGGTGCTGGGGCGGGAGGGGCGCGGTCCGCGGAAGTGGCTTGTCCCCGCCGCCCCGCTGAGTGGCTCCGCCCCCTCCAGAGTGAGAAGCTGCTGCTCTACGACACCCTGCAGGGGGAGCTGCAGGAGCGGATCCAGAGGCTGGAGGAGGACCGCCAGAGCCTGGACATCAGCTCTGGTGAGGCTGCCCTAGGTGCTGCTCTGTCCTTGTGCATCCCGTCTGCTGCTCTGCCTGCCCTGGGAGCATGTCGGGGAGCCTGCTTCATGGGGTCACTGTGGGGCCCAAACAGAACCAGGCACAGAAAGGACCCAGCCCAGGGCCTGGCGCACAGTGGAGGCTCAGCAAGAATGGGTCCCCCTGCCCTCCTCGGCCCCTGCTCTCTTTCCAGAACAGAAGGTGCCATTCTCACACCCCCACACCTACAACAGCCACAGTCCCCTCCATGTCCGCAGCGCCTGTGTTCATAAGGGGTCCTAGGGAGGCCGGAATGGTCATTGGCCCACTGGTCACTAAACAGATGAAGAAACCGGGCTGACAAAAGTACAAGGACCCCTCCCCCAGGCTCGCACAACCATGCCATCCGGCCCTGACCTCAGCTTCCACGCCCCCGGCCCCCGGGTGCTCTCCACCGCCCTGGGAGGGAGAGGAGGGGAAGGGCTGGCCTGGCTCCTGTGAGGGACACAGCTGCAAGGGCGGGCTGTCCTGGGAGGGCCAGCACCTTGATCCTGACTCTGGCTCTGGGGGCACAGAGTGGTGGGATGACAAACTGCACGCCAGAAGCAGCGCAAAGACCTGGGACTCCCTGCCAGCCAGCAAGAGGAAGAAGGCCCCTCTCGTTTCTGGTATCCTTCCACCCAGGGCAGCCCGAACCGGGCAGGATGTCAGGGTTAAGGGAGGCGGGGGTGGAGAGGGACTTGGAAGGCGGAGTCACGCTAGACACATAGGCAAATCCAACTGTCGGGAATTTTCTGTGAGGCCCTGGGTCTCTGCTGGGCCGTGTGGACCATAGAGAAACAGAAGTGTCCACTCAGTGACTCCCCCTAACTTGCTGAGTGAAGTCTTCTTCGAGGCTCTTCTGGTTTTCCCACAACATCCCCGACAGGTCCCAGACTTTCCCACCACCACCCCCTTCTCCGCCTGCTCTCACTTTCCACCCTCTTCTTGGAAAGCTTTGCTGCCTATCTCTGCCTGGTCAGGGCTTGTCTCACATGTTACGTCCTCTGTGAAGCCTCTCCTGGTTTCTCCCCAGTGGCAATGCCTTCTCTCTACTCTGCACCCCTGTGGCCTAAACTGGGGCACCCACATCCCATACTGTAGTTGCCCCCTGCCCCACCTTAGGCGTGAGCCCCTTCAGCTCAGGGCCTTCTGAGCCCTCATCCCTCCTGGCAGCGCCCAGCACAGACTGGAATGGAATCCGCACGCCCTCCACCCCCGGGTACTCTGCGGCCATCAGACTCTCAGGACACGGGCCACCTAGTGATGGCAGTCGGGTCAGGCAGGGAGGGAGATGTCTGGGCAGCGAGGACTTGAGGGGTGAATGGGAGACATCAGGTACAGAGCCCAGGAGGACAGAGCAGATGGTCCCCGGAGGGGAGTGGGAGACCAAAGGAGGGTTGTCTCCCGAATGGAAGAGACTGAAATCTGTGTGTAGAAGGGGCCAGATGAAGGGACAGGAAGGGGACAGGGAGGGAGTAGAGGGAGCAAGGTCCCTGAGTGGGTGGGCTGGGTTTTCAACTCCTGACCTTTACACTGGAGGGGGGGAGGGGGAGCTGAGGGGAGGTAGGGGTGAGGCTCAGTACCCCCCCCCAGACTCGTGAAGAGGCCACAGGCCCTGCCCCGAGAACCTGGGAGCCAAGAGGGAGGAGACAGAACCTGAGCTCTAACCTGGGTCCTCAGCCCCCTCCCCACTGTGACACCTGTCCCCTCCACTGGGCTTCCTGTTTCCTTGACCCCCATTGCAGGTCCTTACATCGTGTACATGCTGCAGGAGATCGACATCCTGGAGGACTGGACGGCTATCAAAAAGGTGGGGCCAGGGCCCCTGTTTCCCTCATGCAGGTCCCCATCCCTGACCCCAGCTTTGGTCTCTGTGGGCTCACCACGCCTGGGCTTCCTGAGGGCCTGGGAGCTCTGCTAAGCCCTCAGCACCTTCTGCCTTTAGCCCAGGGTTCCCTGGCATTGCCCTTTTTTTAGAGAGAGAGGAGGAGAATGTGTTTGCATGTGCAAGTGGTGCAGGGGAGGGTGGGTGCAGAGGGAGAGAGAGAATCCCAAGTAGGGGTCACTCCTAGCACAGAGCCTGATGTGGGGCTCGATCTCATGACCCTGAGATCTTGACCTGAGCAGAAATCAAGAGTCAGATGCTTAACCTACTGAGCCACCTAGGCGCTGGCCTGAGGCTTCCCTGCAGGAGGGTCCTTTTAATCTGTGTCAGCCCCTTCCTCCTTCCAGGGCAGGTTTTGATAGGATGGGAGGGAGGGAAGGCAGCTGTTCTGGGCTGGACTGGCCTGGTGTCTGTCAGGGGACCACATCAGAGCTTTGCTTAGAAAGGGTCTTATGCCCCCCCCCCCCCCCGCATCTCCATGCTGCACTGACCCAGCAGCGCCCCCACCCCAGAGAAACTGATGTGGAGGAGGGTACTTGCCAAGCTGGAGGCAGGCTCTCAAGGGGGGCTTTTCTTCTTACCCACCCAGGCCAGGGCAGCTGTGTCCCCTCAGAAGAGAAAAGCAGATGGTAAGAACCACAGGAGTTGTTCGGCCTCCTGCCACCCCCTCCCCCAGTCCAGAGTCCTGGAAAAGAGCCCAGAAAGAGGCAGTGGTTATGTCAGATCAGTGGCCCCAGTTAGAACGGTTTGGGGAGCAGATCGGTTTGGGGAGCGGGATCCGCCGGGGTGGGGTAGGGAAGCTCTAGGTCGATGGGGCTGGGGGATGAAGCTCCCCGCACCTGGGACTGGTCAGGGAGGGCTGGAATGCCGGGCCCATGGGTGCAGGCCATAGAGCTGCCCTGGGCCAGCCTCAGGCTGTTCCTCTCAGTCCCCCATAGGCAGTGGTGTTCCCCTCCGGGTTCAGCTTTTCACCTGCAGTGCTTCTTCCTTAGGACCATGACCGTGCTGTTCAGAGCCAAGGGGCCCCTCGGGGCAGCTGTCAGCAAAGCCAGGACTCGCATTTTCCTGCTGTGGGAAGGCAGACTGACAAGCCCCTCGGGGTCTGTCCAGCCAGCTCCCCGGTGCTGCTGCTGGACCTTCCCCTCCAGCCATTGCTGGTCCGGACCCCTCTGCCCTCCTCGGGGGCCTGCACAGCTGTGGCCCAGAGCTGCCCTAGCCAGGCAAGACTGTCTCCTCCGTCCCTAGTGAGCGCACCACCTCCCCCTCCCAAAGGGCAGCCTCCTTGGTGCCCTCCTAGACAAAGAAGATGTGGCTCGTCTTAAGCCAAAGCAACATCCTTCCTGCTGACCGTGTACCAGTTGCTGAGCCAGTGAGCTGGGCCCCACTCTGTGGGAACTCTGAGCCAGACATTATATTTTGGGGGCCTGTCTCTCCTGGCTTTTGTTGGAGGTGAGAAGGCAGGCTCCCCGGGTCTTCTCAAGGAGGTTCTTGGTGTCTCCCAGATTGCAGGGACTGGAATTAAAATCTCTCCTGGGACTCCGGCGTGACCTGTGTGTGTCTGATTTACCTTGCAAGAGAATCAGGGCTCCCACGGGGAGTGCCTGAGTCAGGCAGGCTCTCCTGGAGTCCCTGGTACCTCCCCTCACTACCCGGCAGGAGCCAACCTACTCTGAGTTGGGGTATCGGGAGGGGCAGGGGGGACTCGCCCACCACACCTCCCAGAGGTGGGGGAGTGAGCCCTGGCTGACCAAGGGCTCCTGAGCCAAGTCTGAAGCAACACGTGGCACAGGCAGACCATGTGTCCTGGGGTGGGGAAGGCAGCTGTGTGCTCCAGGCTGGGAGACTGGGTCACGTCTGCACCTGCCCCAGTCCCTTGGCGGATTGGTAAGGCAGGCTGGCAGGGCCTGCATGCGTAGGAGGCAGCTGGCAGCACCCCGTGTGCTGACGACCTCACAACCAACCCCCCCCCCCGCCCCGTTTAGCGCTGCGTGTTGGAACCACCCCCAGAACCTCAGTTAAGCAAAGGGGTTAGTTTCCATGGAGACAACAGCATCCTTTCTCCATGGCAACCTGAAATCCCAAAACCCAAGTTAGGCTCAGGACTGAGTCATCTGTGACCAGTAGGGGGTGCTCTCCCACCGGGCTGACCCCAGGGCCACGCACAGATGAGCCATTGACCGCAGACTTAAAGGTACCCCGAGGGCCAAACTGGGGCCTGGGGGACCCAGATGGGCCCTGCTTAACCCCTTCCCGCCTGCTTGTGTGGTTTGAGGAGGCCGGTAAGGCTCCGGGATGCACCGTGTGGAGGTGGCGGCCCCACAGCTGGGGCTCTCGGAGGGGCGCTTGCACGGACAGAACCCCTGCCCCCTGACGCTGGGCCCAGGACAGAGAGGAAGCGGGCTCGGCCCGGGCTGAGTGGACACACAAGAGTTAACTGGTGGGGCGTGACAGGGCGAACCGCCCTCAGGAAGTGTTACTCACCGCCGGGAATGTGAGCGCTCTTGCCTCGGGGGCTGGATTCCCTTCCTGAGTCCTGGGAGAAACCGGGAGAAACCAGGAGAAACCAAAGGAGCTCCCAGCCATGGAAACCCCTGGGGAGCCGGGAGCTGGACCCCTCGGAGCCCCCAGCCTGTCCAACTCTGCACCTGGGCGCCCGGAGAGAGGAAAGTTAGTGAAGTTGGAAGGGCAGCCTGGTGGGGCGGGAGAGGTGGCAGAGCAGGGTCCGTCCCAGGGCAGAGGAGGGGGAGAGGGTGAAGGAAGGGTCCCACCCCCTGATCCCTTGCTCAAGTCGGCCGCCCGCCCGCAGGCCAGCCGAGGACCCGCCGTACGACGTGCCCGGGGCCAGTGGGCGGCAGGCGGGCGGGCCCCAGCGGCCTGGGCGCACGGTGAGCCTGCGGGAGCGCTTGCTGCTCACGCGGCCCGTGTGGCTGCAGCTGCGGGCCAACGCCGCGGCCGCACTGCACGTGCTGAGGACTGAGCCCCCGGGGGTGAGTCGTGCCCCTGACCCCGGCACTGGCCGGCGGGGGGCGGTGGGGGGAGAGAGGCCGGACACGGAGGTGCCGAGGCTCCGACCCCTGTCCTTTGCAGACGTTCCTGGTGCGGAAATCTAACACTCGCGGGTGCCAAGCCCTGTGCGTGCGGCTGCCCGAGGCCAGCGGCCCCTCCTTTGTCTCCAGCCACTACATCCAGGAGAGCCCTGGGGGTGAGCGGGACTGGCCTGGTTGGGGGGGGGAGGGGCTGGAAGCCGTCAGGGCCAGGCGCAGGGGTGTTTCCTAGAGAACGACCGCACTTCTCATCCCTCAGGTGTCTCCTTGGAGGGCTCAGAGCTCATGTTCCCAGACCTGATCCAGCTCATCTGCGCCTACTGCCATACCCGGTGAGCCTGGCCACAGGGTGGCTGGTGTCCGTTGGTCCCAGCTCCCTGGGACAGTGTGTCCTCCCAACCCCTGCAGGTCCTGTCAGCCCCCAGAGCCCTGAGCATCCCTCACACCCCTGGCTTTCTGTTTCCCTCTCTGGCCTCAGGGACATCCTTCTCCTCCCACTCCAGCTCCCCAGAGCCATCTGCCAGGCAGCCACCCACAAGGAACTCGAAGCCATCTCCCATCTGGGCATTGGTAAGGGCTCTTTTGCTACCCATTGCACAGATGGACAAGCTGAGGCCAAGAAGGAAAGGGAAGGCACGCGGGCACATGGCACCCTCCCCAAACCTCCCTGAGGCCCCAATTGGTTTCCCTAGAGTTCTGGAGCTCCTCCCTCAACACCAAGGCTCAGCTGGGCCCGTCTGAAGGCCAACTGCTGCCCCGGCTGAAGCCCCGGTCCCCGCAAGAGCTGGACCAGGGCACAGGAGCCGCCCTGTGCTTCTTCAATCCCCTCTTCCCCGGGGACCTGGGCCCCACCAAGCGGGAGAAATTCAAGAGGAGCTTCAAAGTGCGTGTGTCCACGGAGACCTCCAGTCCTCTGTCACCACCTGCCGTGCCACCTCCCCCAGTCCCCGTGCTGCCAGCTGCAACCCCCAACCAGACAGAAAGCTTACCCCCTCGCCAGCTTCTGCGAAGGGAGAGCTCAGTGGGGTACCGTGTGCCAGGGGGCGCCAGGCCCAGCCTCCCCCCGCTGCCCTCCCTCCAGGAGGTAGACTGCGGCTCCCCCAGCAGCTCGGAAGAGGAGGGGGTGCCGGGGTCCCGGGGAAGCCCAGCGACCTCCCCCTGCCTGGGCCGCCGGCGGCCCCTGCTTCGGTCCATGAGCGCTGCCTTCTGCTCCCTGCTGGCGCCCGAGCGGAAGGTGGGCCGGGCAGCTGCGGCGCTGACACAGGACCGACACACAGCCGTGGGCCAGCTGGTGCAGGACCTACTGACCCAGGTGCGGGCTGGCCCTGAGCCCCGGGAGCTGCAGGGGGTCCGAGAGGCGCTGAGCCGGGCCCGGGCCATGCTGAGTGCAGAGCTGGGCCCTGAGAAGCTGCTGCCGCCCGAGAGACTGGGTGAGACCCCAGGCCTGGGCTCCACAGGCTCAGCTCGCCTCTCCCCTCCCCTGTTAACTCCAGCTCTTCCCGTTCCCCGCCTCTCCCCCTCTTCTCCTGTCTCACCGAGATTCCTCCTCCTCTTCGTCCCTCTCTCTCCCTGACCCCGTCCCGGGGGCCCCTATTCGCGCCCCAGGTTCCCCTGACCCTGCCCACCTCTCCTCTGCAGAACACATCTTGGAGAAGTCGCTGCATCGCTCCGTGCTCAAGCCTCTCCGGCCCATCCTGGCGGCCCGCCTGCGGCGCCGGCTTTCCGCCAATGGCTCCCTGGGCCGCCTGGCCAAAGGCCTCCGCCTGGCCCGGGCCCAGGGCCCTGGAGCCTTCGGGTCCCACGTGAGCCTGCCCTCCCCGGTGGAGATGGAGCAGGTGCGCCAGAAGCTGCTGCAGCTGCTCCGGGCCTACTCTCCCAGCGCCCAGGTCAAGCGGCTCCTGCAGGCTTGCAAGCTGCTCTACACAGCCCTGAGGACCCACGCAGGTACGCCCCCTCCTGCCCCCCTGCCCAGTCAGAGGCAGGCCCCCCAGAGATTCCAGAATGGCACAGCAGGAGGGGGATGGGTCCAACACTCCCATCTCAGAGATGGTGCAACCGAGGCCCAGAGACTGGAGCATCCTCTCCCCAGCCCCTGTCTGTGGTTGCCATAGAGACCACATCACTCCAGGCCCAGCAGGTGGCAGGGAGGGTCAGTGTCTGAGACACGGAGTGGACACCCGACCCTGGAGCCCCAGAGGAGTCTGAAGTTTCCTCCTCTACCACCCCCCAGGGGAGGGCGCAGGGGCAGATGAGTTCCTCCCACTGCTAAGCCTTGTCCTGGCCCAGTGCGACCTTCCCGAGCTGCTGCTGGAGGCTGAGTACATGTCGGAGCTGCTGGAGCCCAGCCTGCTCACGGGAGAGGGTGAGGGAGCTCCTCCACGTGCCACCTCCCTGTCTGTGTGGGACTGGGGTGCTTAGGGGCTGCATGGCCCCCAGGAAGTGGTGGGAGGGTGGCCAAGTGTCCCCTACCCCCAGCCTGAGCTGCATTCTTCCCCTTGTGTCCCAGGCGGTTACTACCTGACCAGCCTCTCGGCCAGTCTGGCCCTGCTGAGTGGCCTAGACCAGGCCCGCACCCTCCCCCTGAGCCCCTCACAGGAACTACAGCGCTCCCTCAGCCTCTGGGAGCAGCGCCGCCTGCCTGCCACCCACAGCTCCCAGGTAACAGGGCCTCCACGCCAGCCACCCTGAACCGCCCAACCCCTGGGGCGCGGTGGGGGTGGCGGGGTTCTGGCACCATCCTGCATAGTCCCCTCCTTTTCCTAGTGAGACCTGGCAGGGGAGAGGCTAGTCCTACATCACCCTGTCACAGAAGCAGCACCCTGTGTGGACGTCCAAGCCTAGCTTTTCTTGAGAGGGATCCATGTGCTCTAGGGGCTCAGCCCTGCAGCTTGATAGAAACTCGGAATTGGGACCATTATTATCCCATTTTACAGAGGAGGAAACGGAGACATGACATGGAGGGGGAAAGGGACATGGGTGGCAAGCTCCAGCCCCAAATCCTGGCTTCTGGCCCCCAACTGGGGCTCTGCCCTCCCCTGGAGTGAGGCTCCCAGCCTGTGCTCCCCTCACCCTCCTCTCCATCCAGTCAGGGGACCCTTCCTAGCCTTGGTTAAGAGTTTAGACCCTGTAGCCAGATGCTGGCTTTAAATGCTCGCTCTGCTCCTTTCTATTTCCAGGAGCTTGGGCAAGTCACGTAACCTCTTTGTGCCTCGATGTCCTCATCTATAAAATGAGGCAACAGGACTTATCTCCTGGGGTCAATGTGTGGATGAAATGAGTGAATGCAGGACAAGTGCTTAGGGCACGGGGGAAGGTTCCGAGGCGGGTTGTCAGGCTCCAGAGAGCTGCTGGGGCCGCCCTTCCTGCCAGCCTGCAGCTCTGACTCACTAGCCAAGGCAGATCTCTCCTTCCCTCAGAGCCCCACTTGCAGCTCCACTTGTCCAAAAAGCTTTCGTCTCTTGGCTGTACCCCTGGATTTATACCACTGCACCCTGTCCC